TGGATGATACTCTACCATTGGCAGGTGTTGGCCGCCGCGGTGATGCAGGGGTGCCAGTCTGTGGCATTGAGAATAATAACAGATGGGAAGAGGAAACAGGAGAGCACAGGCGTCGAGTTTGACGTCATGCGAGTGAGTTCTGGTGGAAATTTTTTACCGAAAATTCACCGCGCGTTATAGATTTTCTACGGATATGAAGCTGCAGGAGTGCCTATTATCCCCATGTTTCGAATGCCGCTGCTGCCAGCTGAGCTGGCAGAAAAATACGGCAATGATATCGAGGGACGAAATCTGATCCATTTGGCGGTTGAAAACGGTCAAGTAGAGGTGAGCGTTCGTGGGTTGATAGGAATATATGATTTTTATTAGATGTTGGAGGCTCTGATAAACACTAATTTGTTCCCATTGCCATATGCATTGGAGGCTCCTACTGAGCCTAATCCGGCGCCACAAATCGAGATGCCTATGCTGGCCGCTGGGGCGGGCCATACGCCGCTCCATTTGGCGGCATTGAAGGGAAACATCGACGTTGTTACAAGCCTTGTTGACGCGGGAGTAAATGTGAATATCACTAATAGACTTGGGCAAACGGTGAGAATTGTGGTGAAGATTATGTTATCATAGATATCGGCGTTGGAGTAGGAATATATGTAATCGCTTTCCTCAGCTGAGCTCGGGAGTTTCCTCACTAATTGTAGGAGTTTATATGCGAATTTAGGTAGAAGTGTTCTGAGATTGAGTTCGCTTCTAAAATTTTTCTCAAAATTTTCATAGAGTCACAGACACATGTGCATGTTTCCCCACAGGGAAAAACTACTAAAATTAATGGAGTTTTACGTGAAGTGGTTTAATACTCTGTGAAAAACGCGATATTCGCGGTGATATGCAGTAGTCGCGAAATATGTTTTCCGTTGGTGTTTTTCACCATATCACTAGGGTGAAACTCCACTATTCAAAATGATATGATTTCTATAATTAGATTTAGATGGATGAAATTGTCAGTAATTGCAGATACTCGACGTGGCGCTTAAATACGACCAGGAGGATGTCGTTAATTTCATACGAGCTCTCGATCTCTACGACGCTGCCAAGCAGGGCGATATAGGAGTCTTTGACCATCTCGATCTGCGCAAGAGAGAGCACATGGTAGGCGTATGGTATTGGATGGCGTTTTCGGGAGTTCCTCATGATGATTTCAACTGTTCCTATGGATGAAAGCGTGTCGAACGATGGTTAGTGTCGATAGAATTTGACCAATATGTGTGTTGCTGCCATAATGATATTTCGAATGATACTGATTTGCCGTAGCAGAGGCATCGTGAAAATGCTTGGACCGGAAAATTCGCTCAGAAAAGCGTCAATTCACATCATCCCAAAACGGGCAGTACTCCGCTGTATATAGCGGCAAGCTCGGGGCATGTAGACGTGGTAAAGAAGCTGATCGAAGTGAAGGCAGATGTTGATAGGTGGGGGAAAAATCGCGGAAATTAAAAAATAAATTATTATTAAATTTTAGACCGATGCCCTCGACATTTACAGCGCTACATGGCGCCATTTCTGGTGGGCACGTCGATGTTGTTCGTGTGCTGTTGGGGGTAGGGGGAGCTAACCCCACGACTCGCGTCGG